CACAGTTATTCAGAGAACTGGGCATGGGTCTTAGTCAGCCATCTTCAGGAGTATCCAACGAATTTAGGATATGTTTTTTACGCTGTGGATCTGGGGCGTGTCAGAGGCTGGACTTGGCCAGTTTTCCACCGATTGTGGTTGCTTGTCACCCTCCACAAATGGTGGAGAACGAGTTGGCGCTGTGCCAAACCCGCCACTATCACGTCACAGCATTCTCAATGAACAGGAGTGTATGACTTTTCCTGAGTTTACAGAGCTGACAGTCGAACCAAATGGATAGGCCACGATAAAAGGTATTTCAGTGGGTATCGAACACTGAATTACGGTACCCAGTAAATTTCCGAGTCAAAGGGTATGAAACGGAGTGTGCTTTTATTGGGATCATCATTCAATCATCGTTTAACAACTTCAATTTTTTATGAAGAAGATTTTTCTTGCAAAACAATCTGAATGAGCTCTACGGCGCCATGATGACGGCAACTATTCCAATTGCGCACAATTTTACATCAATTAATCTCCGCCTGGCAACTACTGCATCCGTGGCCTTGTCCTTTGTCACGGAAGGAAGTAATGTAGTAAACTTTCAAAAATCAATTAAGCATTCAATAGGTCGGGAAGCGCATTGATCCGTTGAAAAATGACCGTGATGTTTTCAGGGAAGAAAGTTTGAGGTTCAGACAATAAGGTCGTTAGCTAGATATTTTCCCTTGACACCAAGGCACTAACTCTCAAAATTCAAGCTTCTGGAGCTCAAAAATGACAGAAGGAGAGAACACGAGAGCGTCGTGTTAGAACTTACTAGACTTCGGCAGTTCGCATCTATGCGACGCTTCAAAGTGCTGAAGTTTTTTTCAACATACAACTACAACTGGAAGCCGCGCTTCGAATATAAAATTTCTCCTTTCCAACCCTTACCAGCCGTAATCAGCCGTTATCATTTCTTCTCACCTACCATCAAGGCACATTTCGCTGTCCCAGAAAGTCAGCAGAGTAACCCTGTTCGAGATTTGGCCTCCTCTCTTACGACCCCTCCCCATCTCTAGCTTACTTGCCACTATCCTGGTTGTCTTTAGGCGGTGGGGAGGGGGGTGCACAGCATACATGAGAGAAAAACCGATTAAAGTTCAATACCCGTGGCGAACGTTTTCATTCAGTTGGGGAAGTGTAGACTGCCCTCTTCCAGGTGACTGCTTTTCATATCGTGTTGTGTTTCACTCCTTATTTTCATGTCCATTCTTCACTGCTGCCTTATTCCGCGCACTCGGTTCGCTTCCCAAACTTCAGATACTCTCAAACGCCTCGTTATACCACCTCTGGCGTTTTGGTGCATACTGCGCGCCTGGCACACACGCCCGAGATGTAGGGAAGGAAAGGGTTGATCTAGCAGCATGGGTCACCGCAGCATCGGTCAACAAGCTGCGAAATCTCTCTTATTCCGGAAAGTAGTAAGCTCATAAGTTTCTGCGCAAGTCACTTGCCTTTTTTACCACTTTTGTGGTTTTGAATGAGTAGGCCTGTTTTCTTTGATTCACAATATGCTACTGATTCTGATCCATCAACCATATGATTACAATGAATGTGTTCCGTTGAAAGGTCAGTTTTACACGGAAATCCTATTGACAGTCACTTGATTTGATGACCTTTTGTTAAAATACACCTGTAGAAAAGGTCGTCAGCGACACAACCTGATTTTTTGAAATCACTAGCCACGCTAGCCACATTTTTTCCGTTAGAAGGAGTAGAAGCAGAAAGAAAACAATACCAGGACAGATCAAAAGTGGCTACTTTCCTAGTAAAGATTATATGCTGTGATTATTATGCAATCAGCCCAGCTCAGGAGACAAACCCTGCCGTCACCACCGGAGTCCTGATTTTGCCATGTATAAATCGGTCCGCAGCTGCAGCAGGTCTGCCAACTCCTTATGTCAAAAATGCACGGGAATGGGATACTGGTACCTGGGTACTGTATCCTACTGTCACATGTCCGCGCTGTCACACGTCCATTCACGGGCCTAACCATAGCTGAACGCGCTACTTGTCTGCGCCCTCTCACTTCTCTGCCGCTGAGTGTGTGTTTCGCTCCGTTATCTTGGTATCGACGCAAGGGCTGCACAACGAGGATAGCGGGGGCGAGGTAAGGAGGCAGTGCATGGTCATCACTGCCCTCCGGCTCTGTCCCTCTGCAGAAAGTGGCTGAAGCTCGTAGCTGCCCACCCATTCACCTCGTATATGGACCATTCTCGAAGGCATGTGTGTAGTTATATACTTTAGCTCGGGAACCGATTACTATCACTTTTCTCAATTTGACGAACGCTGAACTTTCCTTCAACTTTTCAGTATCTCCAAATTTCTGGATGTGAATTTCACGCTGATTCATACTCTAGTTCGCTGCGGACGGTTGGGCGTGTCAGGCAGTATGAGTGTATCACCTCGTCAAAGCCGTTCTCACCTTCGTTGAAGCGCGCATGACAAAGTAGTACAAAACGAGTAGTAAGAACGATATGATACAGTCATATCATTTGCTCGCTTCAACAACTGGTGGAGAACGGGTTTGGCACCGCGCCAAACTCATCCCGCCTGACACGCCCAACCGTCCGCAGCGAACTACACTAGCTCGCTGTCAGAACGCGGTATAAAACTGGATATTTAGTGAATGAACTCACTTCAGGCGCTAGCCATCGTACGTTAAGCGGCTTGGAGAGGTCGATCTTGTAGACGTTCGTCGCACGACACATTCCGAAATCGGCGAGCTTCACAATACCCTTATCGATGAGGCAGTTTCTGGTGGCGATATCTCTATGGATACAACTGGAATGTACAGTACTGAACACAGTTCAACTTTCGTCGCACAATTCCCAATTGTGAAGGGATTAGAAATGATGTAAAGGCTGATTTATGGTATGTGTGTTCCTCCTCTCTGCGGGACGAGGCCGTTTTAGGAAGGGTCCCCCTTTTCTTTGTTAACTGAAATCTTGAGTCGTCCACGAGCTCAGGCTCATGGCATCGGGAAATGAGAATAGGGAGTTGTTAGCTACTCGTGGAGCAACACTTAATCCAGGAGAACTGGTTTTGGCGCTGCGCCAGCCCGTTTCTCCACAAACTGTGACCACTTGCCCGTTCCCACAACTGATGGAGAATGGGTTGCGCGCCAAACCTGTGCCCCTAACAGCATCCGCAGCGAGCAAGACTGTAGCTGAGACTGTAACTGCGCTGATTGTCGGACTATTGAGCGTATTGCCAGCCCTGAGACTCTTTTGTCTCGCAAATCATCGTGGTCTCTTTTTCTTCTCATGGCAAGAGCTTTCTGTGTCAAAAGCGGTGAATGATGTTTCGCTGAAGTATAAAGGTCACTGCTTACTCTCGTGAGTGCAAGTATTCCAGTCCATAGGAGCCTTGAGTGCTCATGTCGACCCTCATCGGCACGGTGATCTTCTGTAAATGAATACAGCACTTAGGCTGCGTTCATACTTTGCGGCAGCGTACGCCAGCGTAGTGCGGTGCGGCTACACGCCGCAATTTCACAGCACGCTAATCGAACTGTTTTCTACTCTCCTACTCTCCCATAGTCTCTACTCCCCGCCGCTGCAAACGCTAGTGAAACGCTAGAAACGCTAGATCGATACCTATACTTTCCTTGCCCTCGCTACGCTAGCGTAACGCTC